ATTTATTCTATTATTTTTGGTAGAATTTTTAGGGTTCTCTATGTACAGTATCATGTCATCAGCAAATAATAAGTTTGCTTCTTCCTTCCCAATCTGGATGACTTTTATTTCTTGTTTTAGTCTGATTGCTGTGGCTAGGACTTCGAATACCATGTTGAATAAAAGTGGTGAAAGTGGGCATTCTTATCTCCTTCCTGATCTTAAAGAAAACGATTTTAGCTTTTCCCTGTTGAGAATGATGTAAGCTGTGGACTTGCATATATGGCCTTTATTATATTGAGGTATGTTCCCTCTGTTCCCACTCTCAGTTTTTATCATAAACAGGTCATACTGTTTATGATAATCATGTGATTATATAATCACATGATATAATCATGTGATTTTTATCCTTCATTTTGTTTACGTGGTTATTCATGGTAATTCATTTGCTGATATCGAACCAACCTTGCATCTCAGGAATAAATCCCACTTGATCATGTTGTATGATCTATTTAATGCATTGCTGAATTTAGTTTGCTAATATCTTGTTGTGGATTTTTGCATCTATGTTTATCAGGGATATTGGCCTGTAATTTTCTTCCTTGGTAACATCTTTATCTGGTTTTGGAATCAGAGTAATGCTGGCCTCCCATAATGATCTTGGGAGCTTCCCTCCTCTCAAATTTTTTTGAGTAGTTTGGAAATAAGAGTTACTACTTTTTCTTTAAATGTTTGGTAAAATCAGTCTGTGAAGCCATCTGGTCTAGGACTTTTGTTTATTGGGAGTTTTTTTTTTTTGAATCATCATTTGATATCATTGGTGGTAATGGATCTGTTCAGATTTTCTGATTTTTCTTGATTCAGTCTTGGAAAAATGTATGTTTCTAGGAATTTATCCAATTCTTCCAGATTGTCCAATGTGTTGGTATATAATTGTTTATAGTGTTTTCTTTCAATCCTTTGTATTTCTCTGGTGTCAGTTGTTATTTCTTCTCTTAAATTTCTGAATGCATTTATTTGGATCTTCTCTCTTTTTATCTTGATGAGTCTGGTTAAAGGTTTATCGATCTTGTTTATCTTTTTAAAAAACCAGCTCTTGGCTTTATGGATTTTTTCTGCTGGGTTTTTTTTTAGACTGTATTTTGTTCATTTCTGCCCTGAATTTAATATTTTCTTCTTTTGACTCCCTTTGAGCTTTGTTTGTTGTTACTTTTTTCTAGTTCCTTTAGGTGTAAGGTTAAATTATTTATTTGATAGACTTTTTTTGGTCCTTGAGGTAGGCCTGTAATGCTATGAATTTCCCCCTTGGGACTGCTTTAGCTGCTTCTCATAAATTTGAAGTCATTTTGTTTCTATTTTCATTTGTTTCAAGATAGCTTTTGTTTTCTTCCTTGATCTCGTTGTTAACCCATTTTTTGTTCAGTAATGTGTCATTTAGTCTCCATGTGTTTGTGTGTTTTTCAGCTTTTTTCTTAGAATTGATTTCTAGTTTCATAACATTGTGGTCAGAGAAGATGCCTGATATTATTTCAGCCTTCTTATATTTATTGAGACTGGTTTTGTGACCTAACACATGGTCTATCCTGGAAGATGTTTCATGTACACTTAAAATGTTCCACATAAAAGAACGGATATTCTGTGGCTTTAAGGTGAAATGCCCTGAAGATATTAACTAAATCTATCTGGTCTAGTGTGTCATTTAAAGCCACTGTTTCCTTTTTGATTTTATGTCTGGAAGACTGATCCATTGATGTCAATGGGCTGTTAAAATCTTCTGCTGTGATTCTGTTACCGTCAGCCTCTCCCTTTCTGTTTGTTAATATTCACTTCATACATTTAGGTGCTCCTACGTTGGGTGTGTAAATATTTATTAGGGTTATATCCTCTTGTTGAAGTGATCCCTTCATCGTTATTTAATGTTCTTCTTTGTCTCTTATTATAGTCTTTGTTTTAAAGTCTATTTTTTCTGATATAAGTATTATATTCTATGTATTATATTCTATATTATATTTATTCTATATAATTATGCTTTTCCTTTTCTTCTTTTTCTTAAAGGAATCCCTTTAACATTTCTTGTAATACTGGTTTGATGGCAATGAGCTCCTGTAGCTTTTTCTTGTCTGGGAAGTTCTTTTTCTCCCCTTCAGTTTTAAGCGATAGCCTTGCCGGATAGAGTAGTCTTGGTTGTAAGGTCCTTGCTTTTCATCACTTTGAATATTTCATGCCAATCCCTTCTGAATCCCTTCCCATTTCATGCCTGAAATGTTTCTGTTGAGAAATCAGCAACATTCTATGGGAGATTTCTTCTAGGTGACTGATCGTCTTTCTCTTGCTGCTTTTAAGATTCTCTGTTTGTTTTTAATCTTTGGCATTTTCATAATGTTGCATCTTTGTATGGACCTCTTTGTGTTCATCTTGCTTGGGACTTTCTGCACTTGTGGACTTCTGTGTCTTTTTTTCTTTTTGGCTAGGTTAAGGAAATTTTCACTTATATTTTTAAAAAAATAGTTCTCAATTTCTTGCTCTCTCTTTTCCATTTGCTACCCCTATGATGCAAATGTTGTTACACTTGATGTTGTCCCAGAGGCCCCTTAAACTATTCTTATTTTTTAAAATTCTTTTTTTTTTTTTGCTGTTATAATTGGGTGTTTTCTGCTACCTTTTCTTCCCAATCACTGATTTGATCCTCTGTTTCATCTGATGTGCTGTTGATTTTTTCTAGTGTATTCTCCATTTCACTTATTGCATTCCTCATTGCTGACTATTCATTTTTTTTTAAGTTTCTATTTCCTTTTTTAGGCTTACTACATCTTTGTGAAGTTCTGAGTTCATGAGTTCTTCCGCTAGGTTTTCTAAGCACCCTTATAATCAGTGATTTGAACTCCGTGTCTGGTAGTTGCTTGCCTCCATTTTGTTTAGTTCTTTTCCCGACGTTTTGCCCAGTTCTTTCCTTGGGGACATGTTTCTTTGTTTCCTTATTTAGGCTGCTTCTCTGTGATTGTTTCTATGTATTAGGGAGCTCTGCTATGTCTCCCCAACTTGGCAGGGTGACCTTATGTAGTAGGCGTTCTGTGGGGACCAATGATGCAGTCTTCCCCATCACCTGAGCCAAGTGCTCTTGGAGTATTGATTACATGGGTTGTGGGTTCCTTCCCCTTGTAGTTGAGACTTGATTGCTTGTGGTGTGTTAGCGGGTGAGTTCGGCCCTCAGGCTGCTGGCTGGCTGTGAGGACTGGCCATGGCCACAGCATACGAGCTGCTGTGTGGAGGCTGACTCCATGGAACAGCATTTGCCGCAATGGGGTCTGGTGCCTGCTGAGACCTCTCTTTGGGTGTGTTGCTTGGGAAGCTAATCGGGTGGTACTCTGTTGTTTTCTGCAGCTGGCCTGCCACCTGTGTGTTGTTTCTGGGGCCTTTTGGGAGGGACTCTGGTGCAGGTCAATGTCAGATGCTGCCTGTGATGTGTCAGGGCCACCTGTTATGAGCTATGACGTGATCGACAATTGGTCTCGGCCTGGGCTGGGCCTGGGCTCATGTGGTAGGGGCCACCAGATCTGAGGCTGGCTGCCACCAGTTCTGGGCCAGGGGCAGGTGATCAAAAGACTCCACGCACCCCAAGACCTGCCTCCACTTTCCAGACTCCTGTAAGGCCCAGCTGCTGAAAGAGCTCCAAGCAGCATGTAAGTTGGGTGAGGCACGGTTTCGGGGAGTCAGCAGCGTGGAGAGGGAGGCATTCACCAGGTTAATACAGGTTCAGATTTGGTTGAAGCGCTGGACCAAGCCTCTCAGCAAAAGACTCACGGGGTACACCAAGGTCTGATGCCTCCCACTCGCGCAGCCCGTAGACCCCAGTGGTTGGTGTGGGATCTCAAGGAGTCATCAGTGCGGAGCCAGTGGCGTTTACCAGGCCGATGGAGGTTCAGACTTGGTCATGTGGGGTATGGACTTCGCACAGGGACAGTGGACATCATCCCACCAGCCCTCGCCCTGAAGCCACACAGCTCAGTTCTTCCCTGAATGTTTCTGGTGCACTTGGAGCTTGATGGAATTCCTTGAGAGTTTTCTAAGAAAGATTGCGTGCGAGCCCAGGCTGGCTGGCACTGAGAGAGCCTGGGGCCATGTACAGGTTGGACAGGGCCACGTCTCAGGGAGTCATCAGGGTGGAGCTAGCAGAGGTCACCTGGCTACTGTAGATTCAGATCAGGTTGTGAGCAGGAAGGGCTCAACCCAGGGACGGTCTCGGTCATCCCTCCAGGCCTCACCCTCCACCACAGAACTCGGTTTCTCCCTGTATGTCTCTGGGACTCCCCAGGCTGCCGTCCCTTCACAGAGCCCAAGGTGAGTGCCCCGCAAATGAGTGAATTTGTGTGTTGGCCCTTTAAGAGGATGCCTGGGTTTCCACCAGCCTTCCTTCTCATCCAGAGGGATGGCATCCCTGCTGATTCTCACAGCCAGATGTTATGGGAGCTACTCTCCTGGCAGGGGTGTTCCAGGCTGGGGACCTGGTGTGCAGCTGAGACTCCTCACTCCTAAGGGGGGGGGATCTCTAAGCCGAGATTTCCCCTTGGATTCTCAGCCACCACATGTGGGTATCACAGGGCCAGCCCCTTTTGCGTCTGTATCCCTCCTTCCCGTCTTTCTGTGACTTCTTCTTTATATCCTTAGCTTTAGGTTTACTGTTCAGCTCTTCTTCAGGTAGTTATCTAAACTGATTGTGCTATAATTTGGTTGTGATTCGATGTGGTTGTGGGAGGAGGTGAGTGCATGGCCACCTGCTCCACCATCTTGATCGGAACCCCAAGGACTCCTGATTTTGAAAGGGCCTTGGGAGTCCTGTGTTCAAATTCAGGCACAACTGTAGTTTACACAAGCCATGCTTAACACAGTAGTTTTTAATTCGTGGCATTTCTTTGCCAGTTAAATGCTACTCACCACTGACTTTAAAATCCTAGCTTGGAGAAACTGTTTGGAGCAAGGAAAAAAGTGTTTAATCCTACTAACGCGAAGGTTTTGTGTTTCAGGTCCGACTACAGCCACATGTCCTCCACGAGCAGTAAGTATGTCCTGTTTAAATGTCCTTCCCCACCGTCGTCACAGTCTCCCAGGGGCCGGTCCCATCGGTGCACATAGAGAAGGCCATCGATGTGACCTGCGCTTTAATAGTAAGACTCGCCGGAGGTATCCTCGCCACAGACTGTGAGGCAGTCCAGCTCTGGGAGGCTCTCCCCAGAGGCCTTGACTGCACCTTGATGGCAGGACGACTAGCCATGCTCCTGCTTCCCCTGTGCAAATCCAGCCTGGAGGGACCCACTCAGGCTTTCTTAGCGCAAATGCTCTAAAATACCTTCTCTAAAGAATCGGGGGTAACCCATGCCTTCAACAAACGTTTACCAAGTGCCTGCTGCCTGAAGGCTAAGAGCTCGGAGCACGTGAATTGGACCCATGGAGTGGCCCCAACTCATCTCTGGGGCACACTTCCTCAGATGTCATGGGTAATGATTATATGTGGTTAACGATTGGGAGTGTGTCCGCAAACACACTCTGAGCAGAGAAAAAGGTGCCTCTGTATTGAATATTAAATTACAGGTGTGGGTCTATTCATGGGAAATTTGCCCTTCTCGCTAGGAACAATTTACAGCAATTAAGATCATTGTATATAAATGACCAAAGTCATTCACCTGATTGAACACTTACTTTAAAATAACACGCAAAAAAAAGTCTTACGGTAAAGCCCTGATTTTTTGAATCGGGATAAAACAATGCAGTATTTACTATCCCACTATCCTGTTAAACTCTTCATTCTAAATAGCTCCCAGTTGGAAAGACACTTAATTGGGTTATTCTGTCTGCTGATGTTCTGGGTTAGCTTTTCTTTGCAATAAGAGACTGCGCACAAAAAGCTGTATATCTGAAATCGTAGTTTAGTGTCAAAGCGTATTTAGTTATGAGCATAACTACAAGGAGCAATTTCTGGTTATTTCAGCCAACTGCAAACTCAGTATTGCCCCTTAGCTATTAAGAACCATTAGTAGTAATGAGAATAATGCCCTAGTGCTTTGCACTCACTCCCTGACGCTTTCGCGTTCCTCGAATCAGCGAATGCTCTCTTGAACTCTCTCTCTCTCTCGGCCGCCATTTTTGTTCCACTCAGTGTTACCCACAGGCTATATTTTTTTAGAGAGCAATTTGTATAAAACACTTAGCAGAAGGCTTCGCTCAATTGGTAGCTCTCGTATCAGTCCTCTGAGTCACAACAAAACACCTCTCTTGTCAGGAAAACAGGTAATTTGGTTTGGGGTGTTTTCCTCTCCATTATTTTAATTGCAGTCTCTGGATTGGAATTTCTTTTCATGCAACTGGGATCGGTAGCCTTTTATGGCTCTTTCTTTTCTCTTTAAATAGTTGGTGATGTCTGCCTCACTCTTCCATGCCGGGCCCTCTTGGCAAGTGAGAATATGTTTCATATTTCAGTTAGGAAATGTATGTGGCTACAAATAATAGAGGAAAAATAAAGACTTGAACAAGTAGGGTTCGTTTTTCTCTAACATTTAAAAAGAAGTCCAGGGGAGGCAGTGCAGGTGTGGTATAAAAACTCCTTCAGTCGTTCTGCTGCACCGTCTTTGACTTTTGGATTCCATCCCCAGGGTTGCCTCTGGGTCACAAAAGGGCTGCCTCTAGCATAGCCATCACATCCTTGTTCTGGGCAGGAAGAAGGGATGAGTGGACACAGGTGGGCCCCTGGCTGTCGTTGTCCATTGTCCAGTATGTTGTTGCCTGGCCTGTGTTTCCTTCCAGCCAGGAACGTAAATCCTGGCCACACCCATACGTAAGCAGTCAATGAAAGATGATAGAGTGGACCCTTCCTGATAAGAAAAAACAATTGTTTTAAGTCTAGAGTCTTAAATCTATCCTTTAAAACATTAGTTCAACAGCACCGCAGTAATAAAAAAGTATCTTTCAAATAGATCTGAAACACAGCATTTCTGCACAAACGATGTCATCTCTCTCGAGGACTGAGTGGGGGGGAAGCCAATGTGTGCAGTGTCCATCCTGAAGGATTCAAGGCCAGGGCCGCTCTGCCCTCACAGCCGACTCGGTCTGTCAGGCATCTACATGTCCGAGACCTACTTGGGGATTGATTCAGTTGGTGGTAAATGATTACGGCCGTTGCCTCGGAAACGTCTTATCACACCCGCACTGCACATGGGTTTGCTCAGTGCAGTTCAGCTGCCTGACTTTGTTTCACACGTCTGTCTGCTTGCTTGTTGTCGCCCTCCCCCACTCCGCTGTAAGTTTCAGGAAGTCGGAGATTCTGTCATTCACCACCGTGTCCTCCGGGGCCCAGCACACAGTAGGTGCACAATACACATGCCTTGATCAGATCGACAATTGCACCTGAATGAATTCTAGAACGGGATATCGAAGCTTGTTCAATCCTGAGCCTTGGCGAGGCCTCTCCTTTGGAATGAGAGATTTGGACCCTCAATTAGATACACTGGCTGCTGGGGGGGCACACCGGTTTGCTGGTTCTTGGCGGGCAAGACCGGACAGTGGAGCGTGGTGTTGTAGGCAGGCTGGTGTGAAGCTCGGGGGTGCAGAGACTGACCATGAGGGGTGCGGTGCAGGCGGCACTGAGGTGGCCCAGCATCAGGGAGGCAAGGGGCAGAAGGACCTTTGTCTGTCCCACTGGTCTCAAGCTTCGGATGTCCACACAGGTCAGGGATGACCGGGAACTGCCCAGGAATGCCGGTCAGCCCACCCCAGAAGAAGCTCCCACCCACATGGCCCCAAGGGAGCTATGTCACATGGCCACAGCCCAACCCAGCAAACCCAGCAGCCTGAGGTTTGGGCCAGGAAACCAACAGGATGACCTCAAGGACAGTGGAGACTTGAGAGGAGAGGAAGGTCCCTGGCGAGAAGGGAGACCCCGAACGACCTTTGACTGGTCAGTTCACAGTTCACCTGCAGAACGGGGAGAGCAGCTTTATCATACTGTTGTTTTAAATATTTCAATGAGATGCTTTATGTAAAGCTCTTTAGACAGTGTCTGGAAGATAATAAGAGCTTAATACATGGTGGTTGTTGTCTAAATTATTTTCTGTTAAACTGGAGACCAAAAAAAAGGGGATATATAGGAGAGATGAAACATCAGGAAAAAATACAGCAAGTAGGTGGATAGTGCCATTTCTGCCTCAGAAAGGGCCTGGCCATGTGCAGTCCTTAAAGCTGATTTTGCTTTGCATTATGAAAGGGAAAAATCTAGTTCTCTAGAATCCCACGGGGAAGACTCCTCCTTGGCCTCTGGGGAAGCACAAACTGATCGGGAGGCGCTTTCAGCGGCGTGGGGACAGCTCCCGTCCTGCGCCAGCCCGGGGAGCTCTGTCTGTGCAGGGTTCGTGTTCGAGCTGCGTCTCACCCGCCCGGAACAGGTGTTGCACGGGGGGGGCCTTCGGGAAGACGTGTAACAGATACGATAAAGGCAGAGCCTGTCCCCGCCCCCCACCCCAGCGGCTCTGCTCCTCCAGGGAGGCAGAGCGGCTTTTCCTGGCAATTAATTATTCACGTTTTCTCTCCTCCTCAAATACTGGGTTTTCTGTCCAGCTCCACCACGGAGGCAGATTTTTTCCTCTGGAAGGTGTGTAACCCTAGCACCCCAATGACGGTGCGGCCCTTCGAGCCTGTTTATTGTAGACTCGTGTGCAGTGGGCACATGCTGGCTGTGGCTAGGGCAACTAACGCTGCCACTCACCCTCCCTCCCGTTTTCGGGGTGGGAGTTGGGCCACCGACATCTCCCTGATTCTTGCAGTGCCCAGGGAGGGAGCGCTGGAGCCGGGCCAGCTGGCCGTGCCCAGAGCTGCCCAGGCGAGCTGGTGCTGAGCGGGTGCTCGGGCCTGTCGGCCCCACCCCCTGCTCCGAGGCTGGGCATGTTGCCCTCTAGCAAAGCTGTGAACACTCACTCAGCCGTGCAGGCTCACTGTGGCCTTTGTTGCTGCTCTCTGGGAAACCTCTGTGCGGCCGACAGAAGTGGCCCGACGCTGAGCCCCCTTGGAGCGCTGTCTCGGAGACTCAGAGGCTCCTTGCACGCAGGCTGCCCCCACTGCCTGCAGGCTTTCCCTGTGGTGCACTGACACCTTCACTTCACTGCTACACCCACCTGCGTGCTGGCCTGTTGCACTGTCCTGCAGGCGGTGCTCAGGTGTAAAGACCTGGGGACGCGGTTTCCGAGATACTGTTCCTCAGAGACCCAGGACCAGGAGAAGGACATGTATATGGGCGCCGGAGACAGGAAGCTACTGGCTGGCCGCCGAGAAGCCGGCCAGTTAGAAGGAGGCAGGAGAGCCATGGAGAGAGGGGGGACAGTAGCAGTGTGGTCAGAGGCAGCTGGAGAGCGACAGCTGCTCATTCTGCTGTGACACCCACACAGCCGAGAGCGTGAGCGCACACGGGTGTGATTGCACGCACAAAGTTGTGCACTGGGTGACGGGGGCAGGTTGCTTCACCACTTTATCCCTCAAGTTCCTGCTCTCTAAAACGGAGACAATAATAGCAGACCCCCTTCCAGGGTGGCTCTGCGGGATCTAATGAGTTCTTACACGTGAACACCAAGGAAGCACCAGCCTGCCCCCAGTGCACGCCACACAAGTGTTAGTGAACAGTGTCCCTGCAGGTACGAGGCCACTCCTGTACCCTGAGTTGGGGCGGGATCCCCACAGGGTGGGGCCTGCCGGCTCAACCGCCTCCTCTCCCAGACACTGCCTCTGCAACAAGTGTTCTCCCACCACCCACCCACCTCACCGGAACCGTCTGTAATCTTCTCAGGTACATTTCATCCAGAACGTGCGCAAGGCCTTTCTGCCCCCTCTCCTCTCCCACGAGCATCCATTCCTGTTTGGTAAAGTCACGTGTCCCCGCTGTGGGAGACCAGGGCACCGTGGAAAAGCGAAGTCTGAATTTTAGGTGATTATGGTATCTTCTCCTCTCTCCACTGGAGTTCCTGGCTGACGGAGGCTCTCAGTGGTTGGTTGGCATTTCACCGCGCTTGTGTCTCCTGCACTTCTGCCGCTAGGGGTGCCAGTAATGCTCCCCGAGACAGCAAGTGGCCAGGGGAGCAGAAAGAGCAAGCAAAGAAAAAGAACAGAATAATTCACGAGTTCGGGTTGCCTTTCAAGCCACCATGATGAGTTTCCCCCGATTCAGATGAATGTGGGGGCGCACGTTTATGAGACAGCTGCATAAAGGCGGGGGTGTGGTCCAAAGGTAACTGGCCCGTCTGTAAATTCAGCCCATCGCCTGAGCGACACGCAGGTCCCCTGGCCAACAGGACTTTCCTCCTACAAGTCGTTCAGACACCTCTGGCCAAAGCGTGCCTTCTTGTCTTTCCCGCAGACTTGCCCTTCTTCCGATATTTATTATCTCGGTGAGGCGTCAACGTCAGGCCAGTCGCTCAAGCTGGAAGTATCAAGGTGTACTCCCCTCCTGCTTTTCCTGCCCCCCCCCCCACACACAGGCCACGTGGCTGTCGGGCGAGCCTCCTACATAGCTCCCGCATCCAGGCCTCTTCCGTACACCCAGTGACTCTGCCCATATCTGTACTATTGCGGTGTGACAACCACCCCCAAACAGCGGCTTAAAACGGCAATCATTCGTTATTTCCCGTGTGCTGTGGGTCAGCTGGTGCAGACCGAGCTTTGCTGGGTGGCTTGTACCACGTGTCTGTGGGTGTCTGAGGTCGGCACCCAAACCGACCTCAGTCTTAAATGTTAGACTTGAAACCGTAAAAATTCTGGAACTAATATAGGCAGTAAAATCTGACGCTTCTCATAGCAGTTTATATTCTCATATATCCCCTCAAGCAAGGAAAACAAAAGAAGAAACAAGCAAATGGGGCCACATCAAACTACAGAGTTTTTGCTCAGTGAAGAAAACCATCAACGAAATGATAAGACAACCCACTGAGTGGGAGAACATATTTGCTGTTGCAACTTAGAAGGGTTACTATCCAGGATTTATACAGAAGTTGTAAAACTCCACACCAAAATAAGCAAACAATCAAATTAAGAAATGGGCAAAGGACCTGGACAGACACTTCTCCGGAGGACATGCAGGTGGCCGACAGGCATATGAAAAGATGCTCAACATCACTAATCATCAGAGAAGTGAAAATCATAACCACAGTGAGGTATCGCCTCACACCTGTCAGAGTGGCCGTCATCAATAAGTCAACAAACGACAAGTGCTGGCGAGGACGTGGAGAAAGGGGAACCCTCGTGCACTGTTGGCGGGAATGCAGACTGGTGCAGTCCCTGTGGAAAACAGTATGGAGATATCTCAAAAAATTAAAAATGGAACTGCCATTTGACCCAGGGATTCCACTTCTAGGAATTTATCCAAAAAAAAACCCCAAGTCACTAATTCAAGAGAATGTTTGCACCCTTATGTTCTTTGCAACGCTACTTACAATAGCCAAGATTTGGAAGCAGCCCAAGTGTCCATTAGTAAATGAGTGGATAAAACAGCTCTGGTGCATTTACACAATGGAATACTACTTGACAGTAAAAAAGAAAATTTTACCCTTTGAGACAGCCTTGGTGGACTTGGAGAACATTAGGCTAAGTGAAACAAGCCAGTCAGAGGAAGACAAGTAGCATATCATTTCACTCATATGCAGAATCTAACGAACAAACTGAACTAATACGCAAAATAGAGACGGACTCATAGGCAGAGAGCAGGCTGACGGCTCTGAGGGGATTGGGGGGATTGTGGGGGCTGGAAGCACTGAGCAAAACAGAAAAGAGAGAGAACTCCTGGACATGGGCGGCAGCGCGGTGATTGCAGAGGGGAGGGGGGCTGGTGGAAGTGGCAGAGGGCATGGGGTGATAGATGGCAATGGAAAAAATATAAATGAAATAATATTGTTACAAATGAAAAGAAGAAAAGAAAGTATGCCATTCAAGTTCTATCAATAAAACAGCTGATTTGAAAAGCATCTCATAGTATTAAAGGAGGGTGTTGAAATATAACTTCAGTGTCTTACAAATGAGCTTTATACTATGATTTCACAAAACACTGGCCTTGACCATGGCCCAGTACCAGTATGACTGTGCGTATTCCTAGCGGGGCGGGGGGTGGGGGGGGGCAGTGTATGTGCCGCCAAGGGGATGCTCGATAAATATGCGCCTGAGCAAAGCATTCTCCTTATATCATTTCTGTAGAGTTTGGTAGAGCACAGCAAAACTTCATCACACTCCTCACTCACCCGTGAGAAGAAAATAAAATAAATAAATGAGTGAATAAAAAGATTTCCTGACTGCCCTTGGGTAAGTCATAAAGCTTATATAAATGCAAATAGAGCACATCTTTCCAAAGAGCGAGACTTTTACCAGGTTACTTGATAAAATATGCTGAATATTTATGAATTATAAATATGCTGGTGTGGCCAGCAAACCGTTCATCCCATTGAAAAGTGTCGCCCTGTTAAACAGTTGGCTTCTCACTTGGAACTGAAGCTTCTCAATGCCCTGCCCGAGGACACAGGCAGGGTCACCGGCCCATTTAGGCTGCACGGGCTTCTGGGTGGACATGGCCAGAGGAGAGGCCCGAAGGTGGCAGGTCACAGGCAGCAATGGTGGGGACCTGAGACCCCCGCCCCCAACCATGCCCCCAGTAAGCCAGGAAACTCGAACTCTGTGCCTGTCCCTGAACTGTCCTTCCCTGTGTGTCCAGCAACGAGGTGACCAGGACACTGTTGGCAGGTGCCCCGGACAGCTGGGGTTTGATCCATCAATCAGAGTGTGTGCCTAGCACAGCACTCAGCACAGGGCAGGAACAAAGGGTTCCGTAAATATGCGTTAGACGAATGAAAAAATAAACCGATGAAATAAGCAAACCAAAGGTGTGTGGGGACACAGAAACATTTGTGGGGTCAGGCGCTGCAATTACTCGGGGAAATAATATTGAACGCTGTGCACTGGATGCTGCGGCATCTTCTCCGTGGGGCCTGTTACCCCTCCCGGGTCAACGGAGACTCGACTTTCTGCTGCCTGATAGAAAATACGTTCAACCTGCTGAAGAGCAGCAGCCGGGTTTTCCTGGGCCGGCCCAGGTGGGAGCCATTCCCTGTGACGGCTGGCTCTTCAGCCGCGGCTGCTGGGGCCCTGCAGCCGGAGCTTTTGCGCAGGAACTTGGTTGGGATCAGAACATCATAACGATCGTGGAGCCAGTTCAGTTAGAATGTAGCTTCTCTTCCTGCCGAGGCTTTGCATGTCATCTCGGGACACCTGAATGACCCGGTCACCATTTGGGGTTTTTTTGTTTGTTTTTCTTTGCCCCCAGGTGAGCTTTCTGTGGAGGAGGCTCAGGACCCTTTCCTGGTGAGCATCCACATAATCGCAGACCCCGGGGAATCCCGGCCCCTGCAGGAGGCCATCGACAAGGTCTTGGCCTGGATCCACCCCGACCTGCAGCTGTTCCGGGTCTCCGAACGCAGGGCGGCCCGGCGCCGGCGGAGGGCCCCGCGGGGGACGCAGCCCGCGCTGGCCGTGCTTCTGTTCCTGCAGGAGGACTTCGGCGAAGAGCGCATCCTGCGGCTGCACCGCGCGCTGCGGCGGCCGCCCTGGCGCCACCACCACACGGAGCGCGTGCCCGGCAGGCTCCTGCCCTACCTGCCCGGCAGCCAGGACTTCTTCACGCTGGCGCCCGGGACGCCGCTGTGGGCCGTCCGGCCCGTGCACTACGGCCGGGAGATCGTGCGCTTCACCGTCTACTGCCGCCACGACCACTACGCCGACAGCCTCCAGTTCTACGAGCTGGTCCTCAGGCGCAGCCCCAGCCAACGGAAGAAGGACTTCTGCATCTTCCCCATCTTCTCCAACCTGGAGGTGGACATCCAGTTCTCGCTCAAGAGGCTGCCCTGCGATCAGAGCCCGGCGCCCACGGACTGCGCCGTGCTGGAGTTCCGCGTCAGGGACCTGGGCGAGCTGGTGCCCCTGCTGCCCAACCCCTGCAGCCCCATCAGTGAGGGCCGCTGGCAGACGGAGGACCACGACGGGAACCGGATCCTCCTGCAGGTACCCTGGGCGGGGGCGGGGGGGGGGGGGGCATCGGTCTGTCTGTGTCTGTCTCCTTGTCTGTTCGCGGGGAAAGGGGAAAAGTGGGTTGGCTCTGCTAGAACCCCGAGTGAGTACCTGTTATAGAGCCACGAGGCCAGAAAAAGGAGGGACCCGCGGCCTCAGGCTGGGTCAAGGCGTCCATGGGGTACCTAAACCGCAGAGCAGGGCGCCTTCCATCTGTTCTTTCCACTGTAGGATCGTGGCCACGTGCCTTAGGCAAGCGACTGCCAGCCTCACCCCCTCTCCCCACCTCTTCGCCCACCTGTGCCGGGGCACCCCTAAATGCGTGTGGCTCCTGGAGATTACAGAGGCACTTATATCCCCGGGGCGGTTGCTGTGAAAGATTCCGGAACGTATCCCTGACGCTTAGGGAGCTTTACCAATGTGTTTCCCCGCCCCCCACAAAGGAACTTCAGGGAAACGCATCTATGAAAATTGGGGGAAATATTCCACTCCGCAGAGAAGAGATCTGTTTTCTCCTTCACTCTGGTGTCGCTTGACCTTCCGCCCTTCCCCGGCGGGGCCGTGAGTTGTTGGAATCCAGTGACTACGTGCAAAGTGACTTCCTCGTAAACGCTTTAAGGAGAAGGTGACGGCTCTGGACCTTCTGGTCTCATTAGGCTTAGGGAAAGGTCAGTGGCCATGTTCTAAGGAAATTTCCAGTGAATTTCCTTCCCCTGTTAATATTTTTATAGGAGAAATAAAACCAAACTACCCCCGATTTTTTTGCAAATTAGAATTAAAAAAAAAATCTCTCCCCCACTCCCACCGTACCAGAGCACATTGGTACGTTTTCTTCCATTGTTTTTGTCACATGACATGTGTCAGTTTCCTGTTAATTTTTTTTCACTTTTTCTTCCTCATTTATCCCCAAAAATGTACAAAAGGAAACTTGCTAAATGGGCTCCAGACCTTTTGATTGGTTTTCTCTTTCCCCACCACCCACCTTTCCCCTCCCAAATGGAAGGTCAAAGGTTACTTTGACTTTAAGGAACTTTTCGCCTGATTCTCAGCTTTCATGCTGAGCAAGCGAGGCCCAGGACCCTCCGGAACCTTGAGGAAAGGGCTTCTGTCTCCTCCTTCGCACTCAGGTGCAGCTTGGCCCCCCAGAGGGTCTGGGTTCCCCTCGTTTGGACTTCTGTCACCTTAAGGAAATCACGTGCTTCCCACGGAGGCCTGGAAGGGCGCAGGTGTGACGGTCCAGTTCACATGTAGCAGTGCACCTGTCAGAGTGCCCGCTCACCGCAGGCTCTCAGCAAACACCTGCTCTTAAAAAACATAGCCCCCCACTGCAGACACCAGCTGGCCTCTCGTCTAGAACCATCCCCCCACCACAGGGGAGTGGAGGGGGCTCCTGGCCCCTCTGTGGCCCCTGCTGGGGTCAGTGGTCACCAGCAAGTCCCAGGCCCGAGGCAGGGGCCCTCGCCCTACTCTCTGGGCAACCCCCGGCTGCCACCCCTCCCTCTGCTGTGTGGACCCTGAAAAGACAGGGAAGGTGTGAAGGACCTCAGCCAAGGAGAGGGGCAGGCAGCAGCGGGAGGCAGAGCCTGGGCAAACCCCAGGCCTGTCGCACAGGGACCTCTGCCCGCTTGCCGCTGACAGCTGTTGGCTCCTGTGCCGCCATGCCACCCCGGCTCCCGGGAGACCCGGGGTGACTCCGCCTGCCAGCAGGTCAGGCAGAGACTGCGCTCTCCGGGGTCACTGTCCCTCGGAGGAAGAAAATGGCTGGACTTGCTAGTCCTGCTCCAAGCAGAAAGGACCCGAATGGTCCCCAGCCTCTTTGCCCCCCACCCCGCCCTCTGGACCTCCCTGCAGCCCTGAAGAAGGGAGCGTACCCCGCTAGATACGAGGGCATTGTGTAGCCCCGGCTGAAGTGACTGCAAGGAACACAGTGAGACGCCGTGTGGGGTCCCACAGCGGGGCTCTCCTGCGGCCAAGGAGACTTCTCTGAGTGGGCTAAAGACTCAGCGACTTGTAAGTGGGGGCGGGGTGGGGGGGCCGGTTCCGACAGACATTCTGCCGGAGCCTGCAAATACCTCTCCTCTGCTTAGGGCAGGAGGCAAGTCAACAGCCTCTCCCGGGTCGACGTATTGAGAATGTTATGTAAGAAGGCTATTTCGTTTTATTTTTATTTCTTCAACATTTTCTGGTTTGGCATTTTTTGAGTTATATACTGCCTTATTTCTAAAAACATTTTAAGTGAATATATATTTCAGGATACCTGTCCTGACCGAGAGATCAGGAAGCATGTAGACAGGGGTAGAGAGAAAGGAACTGGGGGTGGAGGGCTGAGCTTCCTGGAAGCCAAAGCAGAAAGAGAAACTGGCGTTCATTGTTTGGGAGGGGAAAAAGTCCAGGTCTGAAAACACAGACATCTCTGGGGGAAAAATGGTAATGGAAAAATACAATAAAAATAACAAAGTAAAGTAGGATAGAATAGAATTGAATTGAATCTGCTGTGTTTCAAGGAATTTGGTCTGTTAAAACAAGAGGTCAACGTGTACTTCCAATTTTAAATGGAGTGTAGAATTGACTGATATCCACTGTTTTAGGTTGAGGAGTATATGGGTAAGCTTTAGTAAATTTTTAACATGGAAACATTTAAGAGGATTCAGTCTTTGCCATGTTGAATGGATTATATTTACAAAAGTTATTTAAGTACTTTAAAAGTTTTGTTTATCAGACCCCTGAATTAACTTAAAAAAAGAAAATCAATAGTTTATTAAAGGAAATTAGTTAATTAAGCTGAAAGAGCCCTTTTACAAATGTGTTCATTGCTAACATTTTGCTAGATTTGTTAGCAATGAGATTGGAGTGTTGAACTTAGTAAATTTAAGAAAGAAATGGGCTAGATGTTGGTAACTTTAATTAATTGGATATTAATTTTTCAAGAGTAGCTTTTGGCTATTTTTCTGTGCACAAAAGCAGGTCAGAAAACCCACGTTGGTATTCCGGAATTGTAACTGAGTGACGGCTAATGGAAGGTCCATTTAACCCCACCCAGAGCTAGTCCGAGTGTGAGTCAGACCTGGTTGGTAAGACAGTGGCAGGCCCGAGGACCCGGCTACAGGGCTGGGCGAGTCCGGGCCGTGCGTGAGGCAGTCTAGGGGTTCACTCTCGCCGGCGGCATTCCGAGACAGGGCCTCTTTACCCAGGGCTCCCCCGGGTCCCGCAGAATGGGGGGTCTGGTCCACGTCCTCAGTGGTCTTCTGCACGTCCAGGGTGGACCCTGTGCCCATCTCGGTCCTTTGGCCCTGGCGCCACAGCACGTCCCAGTACTTTGCAATTCTCCCGGCCAACGGCCAACTGACGACGTGCCGCATTGTCGCCCCCTCTGAAAACGCAGGCCTGAAATGGCTCCTCCTGGAGAATGTACACCTCGCCTCCAATCTTGTCTGCAGTGAAGGTGCTTCGTTAATGGACATATTCGTTGCATAGCTATCAAGTTGTCCCATCTTTAGGTCCTTCTGTTTCTGCATCTATGTCCTTTTTTAAAAAAAAAGATGTTACTTATTTTATTTTTAGACAGACGGGAAGGGAAGGAGAGAGAGAGGGAGAGAAACATCAGTGTGTGGTTGCCTTTCATGCACCCCCTGCCAGGGACTTGGCCCACCACCCAGGCATGTGCCCTGACTGGGAATCGAACCACCAACCCTTTAGTTCTCTGGTTGGCACTCAGTCCACTGAGCCACACCAGCCAGGGATGCATCTGTGTCTTGAATAGTCAGCACTTCAAAGACAGGATTTTTTTTTAATTTAAAGATTTTATTTATTTATTTATTTTTAGAGAGGGAAGGGAGGAAGAAAGAGAGAGAAACATCAATGTGCGGTTGCTGGGGGTCATGGCCTGCAACCCAGGTATGTGCCCTGGCTGGGAATCGAACCTGCAACACTTTGGTTCGCAGCCCGCGCTCAATCCACTGAGCTATGCCAGCCAGGGCCAGGATTTTTTTTAAATTTAATATTTTTGCTTTATTTTCAACCACCCAAGAAAGGCCACACCTGAGAGCACCGACAGCTGGAGAGCTCTCTGGCCAGGAGAGCACCTGAGGATATGAGGAGAAATGATAGTGAGTTCTTTACATACGCCTGGCATGCTCCTTATTAACCCACCAAACCTGGAGGTGCTGTCCTCAATTCCCTGCTGAGCAGAAGCATTGTGACGACAAGAATAACCTGGACAGCTAGCATTTCTCCCCAGTGAGGCAGATTCACGGTCAAGATTAGACCCGTCTTTGGTCTTCAGTGTCTGCAGTGACGATGACGTCCGAGCACCCCCAAAGAGGTCTGGACGGAGATTCTGTTCAGCCCGGGTCTTTGTTCTGCAGGGCAGCGAGTTGATCCCCTCTGATGGAGGCAGACTTGTTCCTGGCACAAGCGTTGCAAACATAGTCAATAGTTCTCTGTTTTAAACGAGGAGGCAGACAATGCTGTAAGAGGAGCCTTCTGGAGGCCATAGCGCTGGTTAAAACTGATGAGAATTCAAGGCCACAAAGCAAGTTTTATTATTAAAATAGATTTGCAGATAAGAAAAAAAAAAAGTAAAAGATTGTTGAGAGGGGAACTCGGCGGTGGAAACTCCGTCTTCAGAATTTCCATGATCCATATCATTTTCCAGACAAAGGTTAATTGAGAGCACAACTTCAGTGTACTTTGGCCAAAATAACTGTATGGAGCAAGGGGGCGGGGGGAGTGAATGCTAATCTAATTAACACAGCGGGGGGCCAGAGTCAGACTCAGAGAAAAGCGCACCCGTGGGCTCGCCCCGCCTCTCCCCCCAGTCTGCTCAGTGTAGGCTGGACCAGGCTCAGTGGTCGGAGTGGGTTTCCACGGCGTCTTCAGAATCTCAGATTCCGGGATCTGAGCGATGGCAAGAGTTTGTTTGCATCACAGAGAGTAAGACGTTTTGTATCGTGTTTTTTCTTTTTTTCTCTTGCTCAAAACTTTATTGTTGTTGT